GAGATACGGATGTGGGGTCTGTGAGATGCAGCTATAGTGGGGCGGAGTAGAAGGGAGTTAGGAGACAAGGGGCCTTTCTGTCAGGTGGGCGTGTCAGGGCCCTGTGGCCGCTCCTAGACGTGTGTGCCTCAGCTGTGGCAGGTTCAGTCACAGACCTGTCCCAGACGACTGCCCAGCAGCCCTCCCTAGGTCCATGAGGCACTCTTCCCATGACAACCCTCCCACCCAAATAAGTGCCTGGGTACAGTGTAGGTCAGGCGGGCACTGTCCCTCCATGTGCTGCAGTGCTGGAGCATGCATTCTGGGTAGAGAGTTCCTGCCAGTTCGTGATTCCTGTCTTCAGTAGTATGTGCAGAGCTGGTTACACAAGGACCACTAGTGTGTGAGGGGCCGGCACTGGTAACACTGAAGACAGCAGGCAGGCAGAGCGCGATGGGGGGAGCGGCAGGCAAGAGCCTAGAGCAGTGCCTCTGGTGGTGGAGAGTTCTCCAGTTTTCCGGCCTGGTAGCAGCTCGCCCTGAGTGACAAGGAGGCTGCGACATTGAGGAGCTACACGTTGCCAGTTTGTGACTCCTATGTGGACTGAGCAAGGATCCACAGTGCACTTGGAACGTCCTGGAAGCACATGCAGGGACCTTTCCTGCAGAGGGCCTGAAGAAGAAAGCAGAGGTCAGTGACAGTTGCCAATAGTCTCCAGAATAAGCCGTGTGTGATTTTCATCTTGTACGTGGCTGAGACTTCACAGAATGCAAGGTCAGAGTCTGCATGCGCTAACATCTTCAGAGGTTTATTGACCACCCAAGTGAGTTCAGATTCTCATAGTATCCTAACATAGCATCTCTAACATTACCTTGATCTCATTGCTGTTTCCTGCTGTGTCCAGCTACGTGATTCAGGATTCTTAATGGCACACTTTTAATCTTTTGCAGCACTAAAGAATGAAGTCAGGGCCTTCACGCTAATCCACATCCCCAGCTCTTTTTCAGTTTTTGAGACAGGTCTTGAATTTGAGCGTCTCCTGCCTCAACTGCCCAGAGTGCTGGGATGATGGGCTTCTGTCTCTATGCCTAGCTTAGACTTACTTAGGATACTTTTTTAAAAAATAGAATTACTTTAGTGTGTTCATTTATTCCAAAGTAAAAGATGAGCTGGATTGGGTAAGGCACTCCTAGAATTTCTTCACGTTAGAGCCTGACCCTTTGGAGACAGACTTTATCAGGGTCATTTATTTTCCACATAGCATGCCATTGGTCTGCCTGCAGGGCCATGATGAGCCACTGCCAAGTGTACGCTGTTCTGAGTGACTTTCCTCTAATCATCCGCCCCATCTTCTGCTGTGGAAGTCAGTGTTCTCCCGAGGTGTATGTTTTGCGTGTGTCTGCATGTGTATTGCAGGATGTGCCTTGTCTATTCTGGCATCCGCCTTCCTTGAGTTCCACAGAGCAGCGTGCCTTGAGCTTTCTCTGGTGAGAGACCACTTAGGCAATAATACTTTTCACAAGAGATACCAAACATTAAATTTTTAAAGTCATGTAATACAGACCAGCTCTTTACTGTTACATTTCACAGATAACAAAGTCAGTCTTTCAAGTATTACTTTGCTAGAGGGGTGTGTGTGTGTGTGTGTGTGTGTGTGTGTGTGTGTATGCGCGCGCGCAGTTGTGGCTGGCCTTGAACTCACTTTGTAGCCCAAGCTGGCCTTGAACTCACGTCCTCTCACCTCGGTTTCCCATCGAGAGGTGGCGAACCCTTTCAGAGCTTTCAGTGATGCCCACAGCTCTCTGTGGCATGCTTGCCTTGGGTCTGCCACCACTGACTGCTGGTGTTGTTGAGTAGTTCCCTTAGAGATAACTCGGCAATCAAACTTAGTCCAGATCCTTCTGCCTTGAATGAGGAACTGGTCAAGATAAGCCAAGAACTGTGCCAAAAGTTTACTTGAGAGCCAGGCATGGTGGCTCACGTCTGTAGTCCCAGTACTCGGGAGGCTGAGGTGGGAGGATCATTGCGAATTCGAGACCAACCTGGGCTACAAAGTGAGCTCAAGGCCAACCTGAACTGCATACTGAGACCCTGTCTCAAAAAGACAAAAATAAATAAATAAAGTTTACTTGAAAAATGAGGGGTGAAGGGATGAGGGGAAAACTGGCCCTGTGTAATTGACAGATCCTGCTTGCTTTTTTAGGGCTGTAAGCACATGCCGCTGCACTTCTGGTACCTTTTATTACTTCTAACTTAGCAGCGTTATGGTTAGAGACCATTCTTTGCATTGCGTGATGTCTTCTAATTTGTAAAGTGTCATGTATGAACTTAGGATGTAGTTTATCTGCTCCATGCTCTCCACACTAGAAAAACATGTGTATTCTGCTGTTGCTGAGCAGAGTGTTCTGCGAACACCCCAGTTAATAGTGCTCTGTTCTTTTATATCATCGCTGATTCTCTGTCAACTACTTTTATTACCTGAGAAGGAATGTTGAAGTCTTCATTGTAATTGTGGAATGGTCTGTGTTTTCCTTGAGCATCATCTTATTTTCTTTTGTGTCTTTTTGCACCTTTGATATTGTGTGTAGAACTACATCTTTTTGATAAATTGACCCTTTTGTTATATGCAGTCACTTTTGTTTTCTTCTTGTGTTGGTGATCAGACCCAGGGCCTCAGGCACACAAGGCACTTGCTCCATCACTGAGCTGTATTCCCAGCTCTGCAGTGTCTTTTTGTTTTAATTGCGGTAAAAATCACAGAAATTTTGCCCTCTTAACTTTTTTAGGATGCTGAGGACCACGCTCAGGGCCTTGCTTGTACCAACCCTAACCCCAACCCAAATGAAATCCTCAAGTGCAGCCCTTTGCATTCACCATCATCTCTTAGAAACCTCCTCCTGGGTTGTTACATGTCCCTGTAACTGGTTCCTTTTTATTGCTGAGTAGTAGTCGGAGTCTGTCTTTCACTGAGCGTGTTTAGTCCATTTATAGTTAACGTGATTATTGGTAGAGCTGGGTTTAAATCAGCCATCTTGTTCAGGAGGCAGCACACTGTGACTAAAGGACTAACTTATGCTCACCAAATGTTTTATTTCTAAAAATACAATTTTATTGAGACACAGCTGTGCATATTCATTTATTCTTGTTTATGGCAACTTTTATGCTACAATGACTATGCTGAATAGCTATATATGGGCCACAAAGCTAAGAGAGTTTACTCTTTGCTGCTTTACAGGAAAAAAAAATTTGATCCCTTGCTGTGCTGGGGTTTTTTTGTTTGTTTGTTTGTGTGTTGTATTTGTTTATTCTTTGTTGATTTTGAAGCAGAAACGTGAACTTAAGGAATTGCTATGGTAGCTGATGCCTGTTACGTTATTTGTAAATGCTTTCCCTCATCAAAATTTTAGACCCGACTGCAGATGAATCTGTCAGCCTTCTGTCACTAGAGCAGAGAATTTGAGATGATCAGCTTATGAGGGTAGATAGTTACTTTGGCTCGTGGCTCAGAGGTTTCGGCCTAGGACGACGACTTGGCTGCAGTGCCTGTGGGCCTGCAGAGCAGAGGGACAGAGGAAGGAGGGAGAGCGAGTCCCCTGTCCCCTCCAGGGCGCCTGCCCTGATCTGCAGCCTCCCAGGATCCCCTCTGGAAGATCCCTGCAGCCCCCAGAAGTGTGGTGGGATGACCAGCCCGCCTTGGGGGCCTTGGGCAGCCTGGGCAGGCTATGCCAGAGCCTGCGGTCTGTTTCTACTGTGTGCAGCAGCCCACCACACGTTTGTCACCTCACGGTTCCCAAGTTGGAAGCTGGCCTGGCTCCTTCGGGCCCCTTGCTTGGGCTATCCAGCCATGGGAAGGTGAGCCATTGTGTGTTCACAGGGCGGCTGAGCTGCCCATGCCGTGTGTCTGCCACGGAAACCTCAAGAAGCTATTAATAACGACATGCATAACCTAGCGGCCACTTCAAAAGCTGGAGAAGCTGAGATTAGCAAAAGAAAAGCAAAGGGACTAAAGTTTCAATCTCTAAAACTGCACAGTTTCCTACTTGGGAAGCGTCAGTATTTGCAACATGGTTCAGAGTTTCCTGAGCACTTACAAACGCTCTGCAGTATTTCACGTAATTCTCAGGCTGGTCCTGTAAGAGGACAGGTATTCTTGTTCCTAGAGGAAGAAAATGAGAGCTAGTAAAGCCTTCTAGAAAGGTCAGACAGCAACAGTGGCAGAATAGCTGCTTTGCCTTAAAATCTTTCGGTCCTCTCACCAAAGTAGAATTGCAGCATAGGATTCAGATGGTGTGGATATTTATCAAATTTGCCTTGATAATAACAAAAGTTTGGCTTTACATGTAAATACTAATAAGTTTTATGTAAGCATGCAAATGAAATGAGGTCTCCGTATTACAGTGCCACAGCCCCTATACCTGGTTGTCGAATGTCACTGATTATTTAGTGATGCAGAGGAAAAACACAAAGGTTCTTTTGATTGAATTAGGCTCATGCTAGATTATAAAGTCAGAGCACGGTTCCACTGTTTGCCATGTGACCCTGGCTAAACAACAGCCGCCTAAATCTCAGTTCTCTGTGCAGTGAAGTGGGGACACCACCTAGAGGAGTATTCTAAGAGAGGCACCAACCTTAAAGTTTTAGTTCGTGGCCTGTCTTTGTGCAGACAGTGCATTCCATACCTCACAGTCATGCGCTTCTTGGGTCAGAGTCCTCTTTAAGTTGCCTAGCTGGCCTCAAACTCCAGGAGTCCTGTGCCTCGGTCCCTGGAGCGCAGGGGCTGCAGATGTGTGTCAGCAGTCGTGGTGGCCTGGTCATGTGCTTCTGAATTGTTCTCAGGTTGGATTTTAAAGAAATCCTTTTCTGATATGAAGTAGTGAGTTGTGTGACATAAACAGCATACAAATTAATTGTTTTCCAATACTGTTGACGTGGTTGTTTTAATTAATAACACTGGTAAAGTCTAGTTACTAACGGTGATTTTTTTCTTCTGGTTGTCTTTATGTGTGCTTTGTGCTTTTCAGTCTCAGGGAACTGGACAGTAGCGGCTCTGGGTTCTGGAGACTGAAGATTAGCTGCTGCCTCCTCGTGTCTCCTCCCTTTTTAACAAAGACTAATGGGGTGTTGGAGAAGGAAGCTGAATTAAAGAAGTTCTACAGATGGCTTCAGAACCAGTGACTGGGAAGCCAGCTCGGAACCACTTCCCGAAGGGGAAGCGGCAGCAGCTGCAGCCCACGAAGACCAGGTCTGCAGCAAGCGACTGTGACAGAGAAGACTCCTTTGTCTTTGAGGCCAACGAAGCCTGGAAGGATTTCCACAGCTCCCTCCTGCGATTTTACGAGAATGGAGAACTCTGCGATGTCACGCTCAAGGTGGGCCCCCTCTGCTTGGTGGCTAAACTCGGCTCTGCGGCACCCGCCAGCACCTTGGTGCTGCCCCTCGAGGTTGGGGTGATCTGAATCTCAGTCCCGTTTTATGGACAGGGAAGGTATGGAAGGGGGTAAATGGAGAACAGTTAACAGGAGATAATGTGCTAATTTGATACTGACTTCATTAATTTTAGTTCATTTGGTTTCTGAGTATTCTAGAACCCTAAGGCAACAGCTTGTTATCAATTAATATTTATCATACAATTATCATTATAATATTTATCATACAATCTTCCAACTTGTGAATTGAAATAATCTTGGGGGTTGTTTTGATTAAAAGTGAAATTTTTTGGTTACAGCTATTGTACTGTTTTATTGAACATCACTTCAACATTTACTTCATTGTTATTGTCTGTTAAGTGAAATTTTAAAAAATCTGTATTTGATAATGAAATGCAGGCATTCTTCCTTAATGACCTGCACCTAGGCTGATAAACCAGTTGGTCTGTAGGTGAGAAATTGTGTGTAGTACGTGTACTGCAATATTCTGAGCAAAGGAACGGCCAAAGCCATCAAAGAAACCTGATGAGTTTGCTTTTATTGCCTGCCCCTCACATGCGGAACTGTAATGTATAATAGCATAGAACTGCAGTACTGTATTGTGTAGTGCAGTCAGCAAAACTCGCAGTACTGCATAAGCAAGCATGAGGTACAAAAAAAACCTTGAGGCTCTCCAAGCAAGATCTACAGAACCGTGTGAACTGGCGGCTTAAGTCCGAGTGGTGGGTTGTAGGTCTGAGGGGTGCATCTGGGTCCTGAGTGGAACAGTCTTTAAGCCTGTGGGTCGGTAAACAAGGGATAACCTGGAGCGCAAAATCTCAGTGAGCCTGCTCTGTGTCTCTGGGGTCACAAGGCTTTACTGGAGTCTTGGTGACGCTGGGAAAGTACCAAAGCAGTGTGGGCAGCCTGTGTTCTGAGAGTTTCCCGCACATTAATGTGCTCTGCGTGCTACTAATTTTTGTGTTGGGATTCTTGTGCATCTGTGCATTACTCTCCACATGCAATTTGCCACTTTGGGATCTTCGATTTTGCAGTCTGCTTCTGATGACACACAGTGTCATCAGACTTTGAACAAAACTGTAAACTAAAAACGCAGGTTTTGAGTTTCAGGACCAGAATATTCAGGAATGTAGCATTCTGCTGTGGATAACTGATCTGTAGTCCCCCTCCTGAAATTTATGGCATTCTTAAGTATTTATAGGCCCCCAAAGTATTGAGAGGGAAACCATATGTAATTCTACTTCCGTGTGAAGTTTAGCCAGGTATGTATTTCAGTGACATTTCAGCTCTTCAGTCCAGGTAGTACTTTATGATGTTTAAACGGTATTTTTCTGATTTTTCAGTCTTAGTGTGGAATTCAGTAAACCATACTGATTTGGCAAAAACAAAAGAAATATAAAATAGATAATCTGAACTTAAATTATTAGGTGATTATATGGAAAATATGTGATTATATGGAAAACACTTAGAATATTGTTAATTTTATAAATTTTAAAGTTGGATTTCAGAATAGTCTTAAAAAGTGTATAAACTCTAAGTGAAAGATAGGGATGTAGCTATTTTAGGGGAAGTTTGACAATGTCAACAGTCAGTTGAAATGAAAAACTTGAGGATCCAGCGGCATAAGTGCCTGTCTTGCAAGCAGGCAGTCGTGAGTTTGATCCCCAGTACCGATAAAAAGGAAAAAGACAAAAAAAAAAGAAAAGAAAAGAAAAACTTGATCTGGTGGAGACTGACTTACATATTTGAAGGAGTAACAGAAGCCATTTAGGAACGAGAAACACTCCACTAAGGACTGATTGCTTTCATTTCTTAAACTGTAAAACTAGGGTGGTGGTTAATTTTTCATGAAGTATGAATGAATTGTTCAATGTGAAGCCCTTAAAACTGCTTGGCACTTATTATACGATATCAGCTATTAAAATTATTATATAGTCTGGTAATTACTCTAGGAGTAGCAGATAATTCTGCTGTGCTGTATTCTGTTCCTGTTTAGTAAGAAAGAATTGCATTTCAGCCTTTTAGCAAGTCTGTTATCGGCTTTGTTTCTGAGTTCTAATTTAATATTTCCTCCACTTTCAGAATTCAGTCATTACAGAAAAACTAAACCAAATAGGAATGGGAATACTTTGTAATGTTTTGTTTAGTACTTTTTAGATTCATACTACATGGGAAATTATCTCTTAATTTAAACTCATCTTCTTTTATTAGTATGTTTCTTTTGGTTATTATTGCTATTAGAACATTTTAGAAACACAGTTATCACAAAATTTGCTATATTTTTCATATCCAGTGCCCTTAGTTTTGGAAATAGCAAGCTCCTCTAGGAAATATTCAGTAAGGTAAGGTATTATCTAGTAGCTGGTGAGCACGTATGAATGTGCATACTGCATTTGCTTTGGGAATTTGAAAGTTAGAGGTAGGCCCATTAACACAATTTGGTGATTAGTCATTTTTGAGGTATTTTTACAGGAGCATAGAAAAAGGTCTATTTATATCTGAAAGGTGATTGGGAAGACTGTCCCAGAAGATAATATATTACTTTTAGGTCATTTCAGAGAGAGGCAAAACTTGTTAGATATTATGCTCATTAGTCAAAAAATTTTCTATTTTTTATTTCAAAGAGAATAAAAAACAACTACAGAATTTCAAAACAAGATGGTAGGAAATTAACAATGGTTATTATATTACATATTGTTGTCTGCAAAATAGCTGCTCAGATTACCAGATATAGGCATGCAAAGTTGATTAAATAATCTGAGCACTAACTGTTCCTTTCAGTGAGTTGTACAATTAGCTATCTTATGTGTAGGTATATATGTATTTTTCCCTTTCTTCTTTTCCCATTTTCCCCATTCCAGTTATTCTTTCCTTTTGAACAATTTCTTTCCTTGTCACAGTATCTATTGTACATTTTGGATCTTAGTTACTCTTTCAGTTTCTTACATTAGGGAGACAATACGATGTTTACACATGAAAGTCTGATTTATTTCACTTATGAGTATGGTCTCTAGTTGCATCCATTTACCTATGCAAATCTCGAGTTTATCCTTTATAGGTGAGTAAGTACTGCATCGTATAAAAATACCACACCTTTTTACCCATTCCTTGGTTGATAGCATTTGGGTTGTTTCCAAGATTTAGCTATTACAAACTGAGCTGCTGTGAACATATATTGCTATGGTATGATATACACATGTATTGCTATGATGTGATGTTTTCAATTCTTCTGGAAAAGTACCCAGACAGAAAATAATGGGGTCAAATGGGACCTCCAATCCTAGTTTTTTGAGCAATCTCCACACTGATTTCCATAGTGGTTTGTACCCGGCTGTACTCCCAACATTGGAGAAGGGCTTCTTTTTTCCCCACACCCCGCCAGCATTTGGTATCAGTTGATTCCTTGATGATAGCAGTTCTTTCTGGGGTGAGATGAGATCTCAGTGTTGTGTTAATGGGTTTTGAGTCTTGGGCTAAAGCCATTGTCCTGCCTTGGCCCCCTGAGGGGCTAGAGGTACTAAGTGTGCTGTCAGTGGGAGAGTGAAAATATTTTAAAGTTATATATCCAACAGCAGCTCCAAAATTATATAGAGAAAAGCTTCTGTTTTAAGCTTTTTATTATTTGCTTAGTGGAGCTTGAACAGGTGTTTGTTAAGCACACACTGTACCATTGAGCTGTACTCCAGCCTGGGGGGGAAATTTGAGACAGTGTTTTAGGAGAAACGGTAGGGGGACTTGTCCTGAAGGGGTTTTGCATGGCACTCATTGCTTGGCTTGCACATTCTAGGCCAGTGAAAGAGCGTTCTCAGGGGGCTTTCCTCACGTGCTCGGTGCTTTGAGGAAGTGACATTCTCCTTATCAAATCACAGTTAAATTTACTTGAAGAACAGGGACACCACACCTGTGCCGGCTCTTGACATGCCCACGGGTCTCATTTATGCTGTTTGGCCCCTTGTTTTGAGGTTTGTTTCTGTGATTTTTCAAAAGCAGGTATTTATAGGACCTACTACATCTTTAAAATGCTTTCATTGGCATAACTATTTGCTGCAAAAATTTCCAAATAAGAGTAAGTGCTCCGAAGGATCACAGGAACACAAAATATGTGACCTGCATTAAGAGAGGGTACTGCCCTGGGAGGTTGAAGTGACCAGATTATCCAGTGGTGATGGCGGCCCCTGGGGGGCAGAGACAGCCCTGGTCACGCTGCTGCTGTAAAGCACCGTCAAGAAGCCTGGGATGCTCGGACCCAGGCACCGGCGAGCTCTGGTGCCTGATGAGGACTGCTGTGACTCTGAGGTGGCACCTCGCTTGCTGTGTCCTCAGATGGAAAGGACACTTATTACAGGGCAGCAGGCTGGCAGGTGGGGAGGGTCTTGGCCCTGGCACCCAGCCCCAGGAAGTGACATTATCCATTCCTGAGGCCAGAGCGCTCAGGAAAACATCACTTCCCCAGGGGCACCCTGCATGTGTCACCACCACGGGGTTAAGTTTTAACATGAATTCAGAGGAGCTTTGAGACCTTGGCACAGGCATAACAAAATAAAATTGATCATGGAGAAAGTGATCCTGTATTTAGCAAGCCTTACGTGTTAAGAATTCTTTACTATTCTATGTTGAATGATAATCGCCTTTACTTTTTGCCTGTTAAGTTAGTCTCTTGGTCTTTTTCATGTTGCTTAGAAGGTTATATATACATTCAATATATATTCATTCCTAGGTCCTTGTCTATTTGACCATGCCAGTGCTCTGTAAGCAGTTCTTTTCTGTGGCTTAGGATTTTAAGCGATGATGTGTAAGGTTAGTGAAGATCGTCCCTGTTCAGGTGGTCATTTAGTACGAATTGAGACGATATGATGAGTCCAGAACGGTCCCTCTGTCTCGCCCTCCTTCTGGTTTAGGCCTGGGCAGTAACACACTTTTTTGACCAAAACAATTAATGTTAATGGATTATTTTCTTTTTTTTTTTTTTTTGTCTTTTTCCTTTTTATCAGTACTGGGGATCGAACTCACAACTGCCTGCTTCCAAGGCAGGCGCTTATGCCGCTGAGCTAAACCTCCAGCCCCCTTAGTGGATTATTTTCAAAAATGGCTAATTGAGTTAAAAGACAAATTTATAGGGGATTAAATTGAACAGTTGGAATACAGTTTAAAAGGTTTACGAAAGGAAATTTGGGTAAAAGTTTGTTTTTTGTTTATGTCTTGTCAGACTGTGGTATTTCTGAGCTTTATTTCAATATAGTTCTTAGACTCTTTGCATCCCTGTTAAGTGGGATAGCTGGAACATTTTAACCTATATTACTTTAGTTTTTATTTGTCCAGTGATTTAAAATTTTTTACTGTGTTCACACGTGATTTTAACAGTCTTCGTCAGGCTGTAGAATTATTACTTAGATGAAGTAACCAGTCTAAAAACAACCAGTGCCTAAAAACTAGCTCACTTGCTGGGGCTTAGCTCAGTGCATGAGTGTCTGCCTTGCGACTATGCAGTTGTGAGTTCAGTCCCTGGTACTAAAAACAAAAAATAGGCACAGAGTGACCCCACTTTTGAAAAGTACTAGATAAGAAGTAAAATGAGATCAATTAGGATTGTCCCCTTGTCAGCATGTTGGTTACTTAAAACATGGGTCTATTGCTTTTGAAATTCTGATGGCGTATTCCCAATCATTGTTAGTAGGTGTATAAGTCGGTTCAGTGTTTTGGCAGGCAGAGTGGCTTTGTATGTGTCCAGCAGTAGAAAACTTATTTTTTGGCTCATTAATTTTGCTTCTCAGCTCTTACCTCTAGGAGATACTCTGAAATGCCAAAGATACTCCCCCCTAAGGTACTTTTTATACTTAAAGCATGGAAAATCGAAAAACAACCTAATGGCTAACACAGCTGGTCAGTGGGATCCGTGCTTAGAATATCCCATCGTCAGTAAGAGGGGCAATATGGAAGGTCGTGGAAGGTGGAAGAAAGATCACACACTCAGGAGCACCTCAGTTACTTTTCAGATTCCACAGAGAAAGTGTGGAAGCAAGCGCACCAACAGCCCAGCCGTTGCTGAGTGTGCTGGTGTGTTTTCCTCTCTCTGTGCTTTCTGGATTTAATGTGTGGAGCCTGTGTGTAGGTCCGGTAAACACCTTGAGGAGGGAAGTTGCCTTATAGGGGGTGAATAGACACGTCCATTCTGTAAGAACTGACAGATTTTCTGGTTAACTTGCATTCTCTTTATGTCATCTGTAGTCCATTTCACCTGATTATTCAGCCAATCACTTACTATTTGCAAACAGAGCTCCACCAGTTGGTTATGAGATTTCTCTGCTTGTCCTGTTCCCTGCTTCTCCCCACAGCTCCTCTGGTAAAAGCGAAGCACATGCCTGACCTAAAAACCTCAGTGGTGTTGTATTTTGATCCATGGTGGCCAAGATATGACACAGTACTCAAGGTTTTGGTTCATAGTTGGTATTTTGAGCTTTTTTTTTTTTTCTTTAAAGTAGAATCATTCTATTAAAGTTGGTATTCTCCATGTTGTACTACTTAAGTTTAAGACATGATTTTCTTTAGTATCTTATTCTTGTTCACTGATCTAATAAAAAATCAGAAAATTCATTAATAGCAAGAACACATATAATATAGTACTTACGATTTAGATCACATAGTAATACATAATACTTTGTCTATTTTTCACTCAGTTTTAAACGCCAAAGTTGTGTATATTTTATCTTTAGACTTTTGATTCTTTTCTGATGAACTGTTCTTGGTAATTGATAATTATTTTTATATGCCAACGAAAACATATATAAATAAACTTTTAAAGAATGTGATGAGATTATGTAACATGTAGGAAGAATTGGTGTGTTAAAAAGTCAGTTGTTTGGATGTTCATATTTCATGCGCACAGTTCAGATATTCTAGAAGATGGGTATTTATTCTAAAAGAATACATGGGAAGCTGTGTGTGTATCTGAAAAATAGCCACATTTCAGTTTATTTGAATCAGGAAATTAGAGTTGTAGTTGGACAAAGTACTGTGCAAGTCCACGTGAAAATAAGTTGCCATCGACTTGTATACTTTAGATGTGAAGTCGGTGTTAAAAGAGTGGTTCTCTGGAGACTGCAAGAGCCCTGTTGTATACTGCTAGTGTGTAACAGAGTTTCAGCAAGTTATGTAACTAAATAGGTTTATGTCATATGAGAGTAACTGATATTTTCCTTGAAAATGAATTCCATTGGTGGCATGTTTGGGTAATTTTAAAAGAACATTTTATTGATTTAAAATTGCTAAGTATCACGCTTCAGATCCCATTTTGGGGATGATATGAATTTGAAACCACGTGAAGCATTATGTTGTGGTCTGTTACAGCTTGGTCTCAATAAAGTCTGATTCCTGTCTGGTGAATTGTTTAAAAATTAAATTGAAAGAGGTGATCCTCTTATACTTGCTGAAATAAGTGATGAGAGACATTTACAAGCAAAACCTTTTGTATGTTCAAATACTTCTCAAGCCTCTTTAGATTTTATTCTAAAGTTGTCACGTCATAGTCTTGTTACATAAAACCCTAACTAGACAGTTGTTAAAGTAGTGCTGTACTTACCTCTTTCTCATGATTTATGACAGTGTGCTAAGAAGACTGGATAGCAATTGTGCTAAAAAGGAAAGGCTGGGGACATAGCTGGGGCCACATGCCTGACATTCAGGGGACCTTGGCTTCAGTCCTTAGCCCCAAGAAGAAGGGACAGGGGGCATAAAAGTAATAGAAATATGACCGGCGCAGCTCCAATGAAACAGGAGACAGGAGACGCTTTTGTGGGCGACAGTTAACTGCTAGTTTATTTACGCGGGCTCTGGTTTATATATTTGGCCGTGACCAATCACAGGCTGCCACAAGGAAGCAGGGCGGGAATGGTATGTAGGCTCTGGCTATTATATCCAGCTGTGGCCAATCAGGAGTTGCCACAGAGTACAGAGTGAGCGCGGGGTGCGCACGGGTTGGCTAATTTAAAGAGGAACGTAGCGCATTGCGGAAGCTGGCGTGGTCCTTAGTCCCGGCTGGGGTATGGTATGTTGAGCGCCTGCGCCCAACAGAAATACATGAAATAATACGTAATACTAACATTCCCATTTCAAATAGTGACGTGATACCTAAGGAAGTGATCATAAATAAGACTGATTTGATTATGTAAAAATCAATAGGAAGAGAATATTTACAAGTATAAAGAGGAAATGAGCTTGACATATACATGACAAATGCCTAATACTCTTAATGTATACATCTTTACAAATAACCAAGAAATAATACATAGTACATAAAAGAAATATACCCACTCAGAATATACTAATGATTTAATCTTAAAGCTATGCAGTAAAATGATATTTTTATTAATCAAATTGGCAACTGTTTCTTAACACCTTGTGCTTGTGTATGGCACAAATGCAGAAAGTAGTTCAGAAATGGCCAGCTTGGACCTCATGGCCATGTTGACCCTATTCTTTATGGCAGAATTTTTATTTATGAGAGTTTGTCTGTGGAAAGTAAAGACTGGAATAAGATTCAGTCACCAGAAGTTCACTGCTGTGTTGTTTGCAGTGGCAACTGTTAGACACAATCTAATGATTCCACAGTTATGGTGTGAGGGCTCGGTGTTTTATTTTTACAGCTTTTATGTGAAATATATCATCTCAAAAACTTTAAACAGACTGAAAAGCCTCAGCTGGGCTCTTGGTAAATACAGCTGAATATTATTTACCTTGTTTCCATTTTCTGATGGGAAATTGTGAATCGTAGTATGTAGCACCTGCTCACAGAGTGCTGGGCCAAGTGAGTGAGTATATGGAAAACACTTTAAAATGCCTGGCGTCGGGGCTGGGGATTTAGCTCAGCGGCATAAGCGCCTGCCTTGCAAGCAGGCCGTCGTGAGTTCGATTCCCGGTACCGATAAAAAGTAAAAGGCCAAAAAAAAAAAAAATGTCTGGCGTGTAACAAATACCAAGTGATGGGGCCATTGTTTGCATTAATTCACAACAGGCTCCTGAGAAGTGAGGTAGAGTGGAATAACATAGTTCATTGTGGAAACATTAGAGATACAGGCAGGTGGCTAATTGGAAGAAGAAAGTCACCAGAGTTGAAGAAACTGGCCCAGATTAAAAGTAAGTGACCAGAGGATTGCATTATTACTTTTTTAAAGGATTGCACTATTAAAACAATGCTCTGGACTATTTGTCTGCAGTGTAAGCTCTCTGCTGATCTGAAGCCACTCTTGTGTTACTGAAATACAGTTCTCGGCTTGTTTTGCACAGGTTGGGTCAAAGCTCATCTCCTGTCACAAGCTGGCTCTGGCTTGTGTCATTCCCTACTTCAGGGCCATGTTCCTCTCTGAAATGGCAGAAGCCAAGCAAACGCTGATCGAGATTAGAGACTTCGATGGTGATGCCATAGAGGACCTGGTGAGGTTTGTGTACTCTTCACGGCTCACCCTGACAGTGGACAATGTCCAGCCTCTCTTGTACGCGGCCTGCATCCTGCAGGTTGAACTGGTGGCCCGGGCTTGCTGTGAGTACATGAAGCTGCATTTCCACCCCTCCAACTGCCTGGCAGTGCGGGCCTTCGCCGAAAGCCACAACCGGATGGACCTCATGGACATGGCGGACCAGTATGCCTGTGAGCACTTCACCGAGGTCGTGGAGTGCGAGGACTTCGTGAGTGTGTCGCCCCAGCACCTGCACAAGCTGCTGTCCTCCAGTGACCTGCACATTGAGAATGAAAAGCAGGTCTACAGCGCGGCCATCAAGTGGCTGCTCGCCAACCCACAGCACCACCCCAAGTGGCTGGACGAAACACTGGCACAGGTAGGCTGTGGGAGGCAGGCGGGGCAGTGGCTTGCTCTGGCCCTGTGGGAAGTACGGGTTATTGATGGGGAGGGGAAGCGGTGTGTGATGAAGGACTCCACACAGCTCATGCCCGTTCACCTCCTGTGCCATTGACTGGATTTGTCACAGCCAAGTGAGCTGTAACCTGGAGATCTAAAGCAGTCCCTTGAGAGTGTAGGAATGGATATTATTTTTATGCTAACGAAAATGGTTCTGAGAGAATAATCCAAAGTGATGTAATTTATAACATTTATAATGAAGTTTATAAATTTAATGAATTATCTTGTGCATGAAAATATAGTTATAATGGGTATAGACTTATTCTGGAAAGATCCATAAGACATCAGGCTTCACTTTCTGAGATACTGTTATTCCCTGTCAGTGGGCTTTGTTTAGCCTCAGAAATGTATTTTTTATTATTTTTAATTATTAGTGATTTGAACAGGGAGCTAACAGAGAAGCCTTTCAAGTCTGTGTCTCTCTTTCCCTTTAGTTTCTTTTCCTCTACTTCCCTTCTCTGCTCTGTCCCTCCCCATTCCCTTCCCTCCCTTGATTTATTCTGAGAAAACGATGCTACTTAGAAAAGACGATTATTATTTACTTGTTTTTTAAAAAAATTAAATGCTTTGTTAAAACTTAGAACTTGATAATTACGCGTTTTTAATGTCTCGGTAGCAATATAAAATTTTGAAAATTCAAAAAACAAACTTGCTTATAGTTACTGTCTCACATTAAATATTTCTAGATGGAGAGGTAACTATTCAGAGTGTGAGTACAGTTAAACTGAGGTCTCCAAAGCGTACAGAGCAACGTTTTTGTTTGATTTTGCAGTGAGTGTTGGGTGTGGAGTGCAGTGCACCCGTCTCCACCTCTCCTGGAGGACTTTTTATAAGAACTGCTGCGGTGATAATGAGGAGCAGACTAATCTGTTACTGTTATGGTTTATACTGCTCCTGTTCCTAATCTTAGGTTCGCCTGCCATTGTTGCCAGTTGATTTTCTTATGGGTGTAGTGGCAAAAGAACAGATTGTCAAGCAAAATCTGAAATGCAGAGATTTATTGGATGAAGCAAGGAATTACCACCTTCACCTCAGTAACCGAGCCGTCCCTGACTTCGAGTACTCCATCCGGACTACCCCGAGGAAGCACACGGCTGGTAACCAACGCCTCATTTCAGTCAGTTCTCCTGGGGGATCCTTGATGTATTTCAAGGTTGTCTGTGTAATACCTGTAATTCAAAACAAATTTCTGAAATTTTCAAGGCCTTAGTTTGATAAAAACAATTATACTACATCATCTTTAAAATCCTTTCTAAATGTAAATTGTTCCTGAAACAGATAGTGCACAGTTACACTACCCTTTGCTCTTTGTCTTCCTCCATGGAGGAGAAATCACAGGCAGAAAGAAGAAGCTAGGAAAGCGATTCTTGGAGATGAGACCTAACGCTGTTGCTGCCTGCCTAACCTGAGGGGATTCTGGAAGTGGAGTTACCAACGTGGCCTCCTTGTTTTGGGCTTGTATATAAAAGCAGAGTTGTTTGAAACAAGTGACTCAATTTAGGGACTAAAAAATTATTTAGCTAGAAAGCCAAGTCCAAAAGAAAGGAAACCGGTTCCTTGGGATTTCTGTTTCTCCAAGTCCAGCTGGGAGGTTAGGGAGCCGCCCTCAGCTGATTTAGTATGCTGCCTTCTTGGGAGGAAAGATCTTATCTCCTCTCTTTAACTCAGATCCTTCTTGTTTTTACTTTCATTCTTCTAAGCTCAACTAGTTCTTTGTTTTGAATTAGCTCTTAACTCAGCGTGTGGCTGTTTTCTTTGTATTTAACTGATTATCCTAGCCCTTCCTTGTTACACTCTGACCTAAAATACTGGATTAGTTGAAAAAGATTGGGTAGGTACTGTCATTCATTTGCTCAGTGGCTCAGCAAACACTAAACATCTGGCTGAGGCACTGAAAATGCAGACACAAACAGAATGTGACCAACCTTGCCATCTTGTCTAAGAAAACAGGCATTTGAATAAAGCGTTGCAGGTGCCTTGCTACACTGTCATCAGGGCATTGTATCCAGCAAGGGGTGCACAGAGTAAAGAGTGGTTGTTTTTACTTTGGAAAGGTCAGAAAAGATTTTACAAAGTTAACCTCAGTGTTGATTTTGAATCAGGCCCAGCTATGTCTCTTAGGTCCTACAGGTGATTCTGAAAGCTTCAGATGAAAAGTTGGATTTTTTCCTTTAAATTGTGGTAGAAACATGTAGCATAAAAGTTACATTGTAATGATTGTCATGTACAATTCAGTGACATTCTCCAGAATTTTTAGTGAAGGTAATGGCAAGTTGTTGAGAGTCTTTAATTATGTTACTCAGCGGACAGCAGTGACTTCCGAGTGGGAGTGGGAGGGTGTGCGGTGCTTTGCTTGGGTGACGGGTGGCCCAGGACTGAGAAGATGCAGTGGGAGAGAGCAGCGTAGCACCTCCAGGGACCTGGCATCTTGGAGGCTGAGCAGAGAGCAGAGAGGGACCTTGAGGGAGGTGCCTGCCAGGTCAAGTAGCTTGCAAATGGAAATATGGATAGGAATGGGGATGGGGATTTAGCTTAGCGGCATAAGCACCTGCCTGGCAAGCTCAGGATGGTGAGTTAGATCCAAAAACAAAAAAACACAAAACAAAGGGATGACCTTTACCTGTGGTTTTAGCTTAATGAATCCTGTGCAGAATGGGCCAAGAATGGGACAGAGAAACCAGAAGAACTATCTGTAGCCCCAAGAAGAGTTTGATACTGTAGACATCAAGAAAGTAAAGATTTTCTAAAACTACAGGGTGATCAGCGTTACGTCTGGGTTCAGTGAGGACAGGATCCTCCTGTAGTCCCAGCCCTCGGAGGCTGAATCAAGAGTATCCATGCGAGTGTTGAGGCCCTGCTGTTCTCCATGAAACCCTATCTCAGAAAACTAAACCAAACCAAATTGAAAACAAAAAACCCAAAAAGGTCAGTCTCAAAATAAACAGGGCTGGCAGTATAGCTCAGTGCGAAAGCCCTGAGTTCCATTAGTTGAAGGTTTTGTTAGGACCTGAGCAAGAGCAGTTCTACAGAGCGGGTGAGTGTATAAATCTTCTGTGGTGGGATGTAAGAAAGCTGATAGACCTCGTAAGGGCAGCTGGGTTAGATTTTAGTAACACCATGTCAAATGTCCTGTAACTTTTTTTTTCTTAAACCATTACTCAAAATTCAGCCTTCTTATCTGGTTGTGTGACACACACCTGTAATCTCAGCACTCAAGAGGCTGAGGCAGAAGGATCACTGTGAATTCAAGGCCAGCCTGGGCTACACTGTGAGACCCTGTCTCAAAAAGATTTTTAAAAAAAAACCAGACTTCCTCAATCCTTTGCACATGAATTTAAAAAAGTGAAACTTGATTTTTTTTTTTAATTTTATTTAAGAGGAAAAAGAGAAAAACACAAAACAAAACAAAGCAGTGTAAGGGTACACGTAATACAGAACTACAAAAAAAAAAAAACATAACAGTAAGAAATCACCTGTTAATAGATTACATATTATCATCTTGAAAATAGTTGCTCAAATCACAGTATCAAAGAATACAAAGTGGACATTCAAACAGAGAGACTGCAAACAGCTGTGTTCAGTGATCCAAAAACATTAATATAGTCAGCTATTTAACACCCCTAAATACACTTGCTGTTATATCTGTTAGAGCTCTTTTTTTTTTCCCCTCTCTTTTTTACAACAAAATTTACACATTTTGGATTTTATTGCTCCTTAGTTCTTATTACTTTTTGGGGGGGGAGAGAATACAGTCAAATATGGCAAAACAAAGCTGTCAGTCAAAACCAAGGATAGAGATAGCACATGGTGTAGAACAGAGTACAAGGTTATCAACAATGGTTATCAACGTTGTCTCTTGTTTCCTTAAAAAGAATTGTCTATCTCATTAGATAAAGTTGGACAAAACAGTAGAGAACAAGACCAATAAAACTTAGGCATTGCAAACATTACAGGACTTCCAAAGGAGACAATAGTCAAACCAGAATGGGCATCTTAGTGAATCTTATTGCCTTCAAAGTAGTTGCCTATACCCTCAAACTTGATACTATCATACAGAATGGAACAGAGTCTAATCAGTCAAAACAAGATCGTGGGAGTATTACAGGACTTCAAAACAAGTTAATAGGAAATCAAAAAGAGTTACTATTATATATCCTAATTTTTTTAATTTTTCCCCTTAATTAAAACAAACATAAGAAATAACTAAATAATTTTTTTAAAAAATAAGGGGGAGATTGAGATAAAACAGGACATAACAATATAACAATAGAGGTCAAAGCATGACTGTTTCAGCAACCTAGTACTTCACCACCAAATAACCCGACTTAATAGTAGTTACCATAGTGTCTGTCTTTTTCCTTGAAATATTTGGATAAAACTTCATATACTGTAGCTTCAAATATTTCCATAAAAAATATGGAATGCTTCACGAATTTGCGTGTCATCCTTGCGCAGGGGCCATGCTAATCTTCTCTATATCGTTCCAATTTTAGTATATGTGCTGCCGAAGCGAGCACTAAAGCTTGATTCTGATTTGGATCTTGTGGCTCTCTCTAGGCGTGCTGTTCTGTGTAGGGGGTCGAGGTGGCTCCGGGGACCCCTTCCGCAGTATCGAGTGCTACTCCGTCAACAAGAACAGCTGGTTTTTTGGACCAGAAATGAACAGCAGGCGGCGACATGTGGGTGTAATCTCTGTGGAAGGTGGGTCACATCATGTGGTTACGGCGCCCTTTTTACATATTTGCACTCTGAGACTTATTTCCTGAGAAATTCAGGAAACTGTAAAGTGCTTCCGAGTCTGTAGAATCCTCGGGTGGCGACGAGTGAACGCTTGCACTGCTTCTCGAGTGACTGGCAGAGCAGCACAGTTTGTGCCTGGCACAGAGTGGCAGTCTTGGAGGGCCTTTCCGGCGTGCTAGTCTCGTGCTTTCTGGGCGAGCGATGTGGGCACAGCTGCGGTGCAGCTAAGGTGCTGTCGGTTTGCAGGTAAGGTGTACGCAGTGGGAGGACATGACGGCAGTGAGCACCTGGGCAGCATGGAGATGTTTGATCCCCTCACCAACAAGTGGATGATGAAGGCCTCGATGAACACGAAAAGGTAGGCTGCGCGGGCAGCTTCTGAGCTGACCCCGGGCGGGGCGCTAGAAATCTAAAGGCCTCCCTTGGAAACTGTGCTAGCGTTAGGAACGTTACCTTCTCCAGCACTTGGTAAAGTGTCCGAGTGCAGGTTTGCTACAACTTTTTATGTTTTTTAGGAATGGAATCACATAGTGGTCACTGCAGCTTCCACTTCCACTTCAGCGTTGCTTTTTTTGTTTTTCACTTCTTGTTTGGGATAATTCTAAAAGGACGGTTTAAAAAGGGTCACTGAAATAGTTGCATTCCTTGGTCCCCGTGGTTTTCAGGTGAGGGTGATTTTGCCCTCTAATGTGGGTAGGGTCTAGACAGTCTTTGACTGTCACAGCTTGAGGGTGGACAAGTTGCGGCTGGCATCTGGCAGCAGGGACAGAGGTCAGGGTGCTGCAGAGGACGCTGCAAAGCCTTTGCTGGCCTCAAGAGCCCACGTGGGGCAGAGGGCAGACCGCACGAGGCCTCTACCTGGCCAGCTTCCTGTGTGTGGACCTCTCCTGCAGCCCCTGCATGATGGCTAACCTTAGCGCTGGTGCAGTAACATTGCTGAGGACTCCACAGACAGTCCCTGGCTCTGCCGCCTCCGACACGTCCCTCTGCTCTGCTTGCTCTCTTGTCTAATCACATTAGCTGGGAACAGTGTGAACTCATTGAAGAAGCAGTAGGTGTTCACTTGTTTCCAGTCTTAGTGCAATGTTCTTACAGTTTCTCTGTTAAATATGACACTAACTTTCGGACGAAGGCACATATGTTTTATCATGTTATGAAAATGTCTCACTAGTTCTGTTTTTTGAATGACCTTGGCATCAACATTAATATCTCAAATTATATATAGTAAATTGAAATGTGTGTTGATAACTAGATCAATCAAAAGGGGAGAAGATTTTTAGTTACGTGAGTTGGTACTCTAACCTGTCCACAATTTTTATTAATGATAGGATGTCAGATTTAAAGGTGGAAGTAATAACATGAACCAAATCGGGATTCAGAAGCAGACTGAAGGAGGCATAGCTCAGAAGCAGAGGACTTGGCTAGGATTCCATCAAACAGCAGTGAAAAACTAGGCCAAACACACAACAGGCAGACCCTAAGAAGGGTTAGTCAAAGTTAGAGAAGTATGTTAAAACCTACTTTTAGATTTCTTCAGAAATCGATTATACAGCATGGTGTGGTGAGAAGCCAGGTTTGCCGTGTTTCCCGTGGAGAAGAGCAGCTGAGCTGCTAACAGGGAGGGGCTGTGGCCATAGTCGTCTTTCTGCCCATCTTTCCACGTCTGCTGCCGTGGTCCCCGGTAGGACGGGTTAGCATGAGATCTGGGTGTGGGAACCAAAGATTGGACTCTACATTTTAGATGATTTGTTTTGAGCAGATATTTTACCATGCATTTAATCTGCTAGAACAGTCATACATGTTTTTAAGTGCAAATAAGTTGTACGAGGGATGCACAAACACTGAATAGTGCAAACCTGAGAGTGGTGAGTGCAGTGCATGGAAGACCAGGTTAGCAGAAGAGCTGAAAGCCACATCTTACACAGATCGCTGCGGGCTTTGGACCCAAACAAGAGGACTTGAAGGAGTAACTGGCACTTTAAGGGGTGTGTGTTGTGTTAGTCAGCAGGAGTAAATGTTTATTTCAAGACCACTAATAAATAGCATTGAAATATATTGTAATTCCACCTACTGCCTAGAATTGTGTGTTAGAAACATCACATACGCATTTTCTCCTAGATGGGAGAAAATTACCTATTACTTTAGGTAATAATAGATAAATTATCTCTTACTTTCCCTTTTCAAATCTAAAATTCAGCAGAGACAGCAAAGATTCAAAAGGCTGAGAACAATAATTGAAGTACCAGAGTAGACAGACAGCCCCAGCTCTGCTAAAATAAAACCAAAACTGACAAACCCTAAGCCCCAGCATGGCAGCTTGTAAGATTTGCAAACTTAAGCACCATTCTGCAGAAGTTAAAAGTGATTTGTCATTCAAATGAGCAGTTTTTAGGACTGGGTTGTAGCTCAGTGGTGGGATGCCTTTAGTTTGATCCCCAGTAATTATCCCCACACAGAAAGCAGTTTTAACAGCTGCCTCAGGGTACGTTGCCTACTGATTTTTTTCTTTCTTTCTTTCTTTCTTTCTTTCTTTCTTTCTTTCTCTCTCTCTCTCTCTCTCTCTCTCTCTCTCTCTCTCTCTCTCTCTCTCTGTTTCTTTCTTTCTTTCTTTCTTTTGTACCTTTGATTGAACCCACAACCTTGCACTTGCCAGACAGATACTTATGCTGCTGAGCTAAATCCCCAGCAAAGGAAATAACAATTCTTTGTTTTATTTTGTTTTGTTTTTGGTACTGGGGATCGAACTCATGTTTTCCAAGCAGGCACTTATACTGCTGAACTAAACCCCTGGCCCTGCCTGCTGATTTTCTGTTCTTGATTAACAGAGTGGTTTTTTGTTTTGCTTTGTTTCTTTACTGGATTTTGTTTTTATATTAAAGTGTGAAAGATCAGATAGAAATTAAAAAGAGCGCTTTGCTAGAAAGACTGCTTGCTGGCTTCTTGTTTTCTCCTCATGTGAAAGACGCTTGGGGGGAAAGTTAGCCCTAAAAATACCATTGCCTCTCAGTATCTACAAATGACATTATAATACTTTAATAGGGCTTGCTTTATACAAAAGACTTTCACTTTTAATAGATTAAAGGAAGGAGGGAGGAAGTCTCAAAGTACATTTTTAATCTTTATACTCTTACCTTTTTATTATTCAGTGACTGAATGCAACTTCCCTAGCAAAATAGTGGTTGAATTTTTTTCATCTTTTAAATACAATTTGTATATAATAGTATAAAAATAATACAGCTACAATTATTTGGCCACATTGTTTGCTTATAATTTGTTTTCCTCCAAATTGTCTTTTTTTGAAGTTTATTAGTACAGTGTAGATGCACACGGTGATAACATCCATCCTGGGGGACGGGACCTGTCTGTGATAGCTCTGACTTCTCTTTTTCCCATTCCCCTCCCCTCCCGTCAACCCCTCTGCTCCTCCTAATTTACAAAGCTGTGTTTACATTTACCTTTTTCTCATTTTTTTTCCTTCCTTCCCCCCTTTCCTTTACGTTTTGAATGGTTTTATATCACCATTTCTTTTACAAATGTTAGTTTTTATACTTTTAGTGTCTCATACCAGACAGTGAAATATTTACATATGTGTGTCTTTTTTTTTTTTTTTTTTTTTTTTTTGTCTTTTTCCTTTTTATCAGTACCGGGGATTGAATTCACGACTGCCTGCTTGCAAGGCAGGCGCTTATGCTGCTGAGCTAAACCCCCAGGCCCTATGTGTGTCTTATTTATGTAAGAGCATGGCCTCAAGGTGTATCATTTACCTATAAATGTCTCATGTTTATCCTTCTTTATGGCTGAATAGTAGTCCATTGTAAAAAAATTACTTTTTTAAACACAGCTTTTTTTATTTATTCATTGGTTGATGTGCATTTGAGTTGTTCCCAAGATCTGGCTGTTATGAACTGTGCTGCTACAAACATGGGTGCACATATATCACTGTGATATGATGCTTTTAGCTGGCTCAGATGAGACCTCCAATGTTATTTTTTTGAGGAATGTCCACACTGATTGCCACAGTGGTTGCGCCAATCTATACTCCCACCAATGAGGAGGGCTCCTTTTGCCACACAGCCCTGTCAACATTTGGTATTGGTTGGCTTAATTCCTTATTTGTTTATTTACTAGAAGGGTCTCACTGTGTAGTCCAGGCTATGTTCTAATTAGAAGGGGATCGGTATCTGTGTTCAGAGATCCTCTGCATACTGGATGTGCTGGGCCCCTGCCCGGAGGTCCTGAGGATGGAGCTGCTTCCAGGTGGTTCACTTGGAATCCAGCCCCTCGTGGTGCAGGGCTACAGGGAGGGCACCGCCAGGTCTTTTGTGCACTTGGCCCGCCCTCTGCAGACAGGCACGAGCGTGCTGAAGCCACTTATGTTTTGTGCTCCCAACTGCAAGCTGATGGGCGCTCTCTGCTTGCAAAGGGCTTGTAGAGGACCAGATTAGGCCTCAAGTGATCTCCCCTTTGTCAACTCATTAACCTCGAAATTTGCAGCTTATTATTTTAGATTTCTTCATGCTACTTTGTTGGATTTTTACTTCATTGTTTGATCTCAACTGAAAGTAGCCAGTGAAGGCTGCGCACTGTGCAACTTTAAGGAATTCTGTTCACTTGGAGTTCCACAGTGTGGCATCCCTCGAGTCTGTGTTCAGACACCTCGGTGAATCTAAGAATAATTCGAATGCTTCACCTTCTGCAGGTTAACACAATGGATGGCTTTTCTTCGGTGCTTGCTCCTGGAAATGCACCCCAATGCTAACATGTGTCTCACTGCCTTTGCAGGCGAGGGATCGCCTTGGCCTCCTTAGGAGGCCCTATATATGCCATTGGAGGGCTCGACGACAACACCTGCTTCAGTGACGTGGAGAGATATGACATTGGGTCCGACCAGTGGAGCGCGGTCGCCCCGATGAACACACCCCGCGGGGGCGTTGGCTCCGTCGCCCTGGTGGTGAGTGCCAGGCGACCTGCCGTGTCCACTGTTGGGCGTGGTCCACTGCACCCTGGGTGTTGTGTTACTCCGGAGACGCAGCCACTGCACTAAGCAGGCAGATCACTGGCCCCGTGTATGAAGCAACTCAAACCCTAACACTCCGTGTTTGTTTTCTCCGGTTAGAGCCATGTTTATGCAGTCGGGGGCAATGATGGAGTGGCCTCTCTGTCTAGTGTGGAGAGGTACGATCCCCATCTCGACAAGTGGATAGAAGTCAAAGAAATGGGTCAGCGGCGAGCAGGCAATGGGGTCAGTGAGCTCCACGGCTGCCTGTATGTTGTCGGTGAGTGGACGGGGATTAGTTTGCTGTGTCAGGATCCGGGCTGGCAAGTGTTATGAAACAGCATACCTCCAAAAATTACGTTAGTGTGTTACACTTAACCTGTAGTGACCTTTAGTGGGTTCAGTCCTGAGATAGGCTTGTGAAACCTTCTTTCTTCTGTTTTCTTTTGTCAGTACTACAGAGTAAACCCAGGCTTCACTGACCTGTACTTGTAGCCTTTTTAAAAACTTTAAGATGGGCTCTTGCTAAGGTTCCCAGGCTGGCTTAAAATATTCAGTCCTCTTCATCAGCCTCCTGTGAGCGGCTGGGATCACAGGTGTGCACTGTGCCCAACTGGTACTTTGCATTCTCAAAGTTTACATTCAGAATTGCTGCCCCTGTGTTTTTCTAAGAATAGCAAATACATCTAAAATGGAATTGCATTTAAATGAAATGTATTTAAGGAAAACTAAACGTGCTTTGCTAAAATAGCTCTTTAAAGGTCTAAAACTTGCTCATTTCAAAGAAAATTACGTTGAAGAGTGTTGGCTTTATTATTGCTGAGACAGAGTATCTGACACCTGCAATTTAGAGGAAAAAAGGTTTAGTTTGCTTCCTGGTTTGAGGGGATTCAGTACCTGGTCAGTGGCTACGAGGGAATTTGGTGAAAGGACCTGGTGGAGCAAAGCAGTGAGGAAGCAGACAATGGGAGCTGTGCACAGAGGAAAGGACCAGACACCAGACACAGAACCCAAGGGACACTTCATGTTATGGTTCGTATCTAGATGTCTCCCAAAGCCTCATATGGTCATGGGCTCTTAGAGTTTGTGATTGATTCATGATCCAATCCTGGGATTATGGGTGAGAGCTCGACTGCCCTGGTAGCTTGCATATAATACAAGGGAGGAAAAGAGACTCGCTGCCTTTCCACCCCTTTTGCTATGGTTGCTTTTGCTGTTTTTCATCACCATGAACTGTTGCCTTCTGCCATGAACCACCCTGTATTGGACCCAGCAGATTATAGACTGAAACTTCCACAAACTGTAAGCTAAATAAGCCTTTCCTTTCTTTCTTAGCTTTGGGCATTGGGTATTTTGTCTCAGCAGCAATAGAAAAGTAACTGACAGAATTTTGTATCAGGAATAGAGTCATTGCCGTGACTGTACCTGACCATGTGGTTCAAGAACCTTTGGGAATGGCTCGTGGAAAGAGTTTGGAAAGGGTCAGAGATGTTGCCTGAAAGAGCAGAGCTGGAATGCTGTTCTGTAGGCTGTTCTGTATGGGAGATTCTGGTCAGAGCTCAGGAGACCGACCACAAGGCTGATAGAAACCCTGCCAGTAAAGACCAGATTCAGGTTTCTGCTGAGAAGAAGGACTGCATTGGTTGCTGGGTTCCAGATGATGTGTGTTATAGCAGAAAGTTTGTCGGCATTTTGCTATTGTCCAAAGACACTGCCTGAGGCTGAGATTAAGAGCAGTGGACTGATTAAACTGGCAGAAGAAATTTCAAGACAGTCTAATGTTGAGATGGTGGCATGGCTATGGTTGGGGAGTTTTAGCCAGATTAATGTTATGAATTGAGAGCACAGAGCGCAGTAGGATGATTTAAAATGTTGTGAATTTCACCACAAGGGAAGCTCCCGCAAAGATGTGGACTGCAAAAATAAGGAAACTTGATTGCCAAGAACAAACAGGAGAGTGGAAAAGAAAACCTGTGGGCATCACAGGAAGCAGCAGAACTCCACCCTTTGCAACCTCAGAATTGCAAAAGTAAAAGACTTTGCCTGAGAAGAAAGTCCCAGAGCACCAGGTTCCAGAATGATGGTGGCAGTGGCTACACCATGTTCCAGAATGGCAGCAGCTGCCGCACTGGGCTCCAGATGGGTGGCAGCCTGGTGAATTTGTTCCTTGAATTTAGATTCAGGGTGCTCAGGCACTTGACTCCTACAGCCAAGAGAGAAGGATGCCTGGCTTCTGCTCCAGCCGGCAGCAGGCCTTGACATCATTCATGTGCACGTAGTGCATGCGGAATGTGAGAGCTCTGAGGTTAAAAAAGCTTCCACCCAGATTTCAAAAGAAGGCCTGGGCGCCAGGCGGTGTGCCCCTGAGAGGGCAGTGTGTGAAACTGCGAAGGAGAAGCCAGAGGTGCAGTGGAGACCCCAGAAGTTTAGAGAAGCCGGAATTGTGGATCCTCTGATAAAAACTGCCAGGCGGGAGCAAAGCAAGCCCAAGAGAGAAGCCGTGGACATGCAGCCAGGGGCAGAGCCCCTCTTCAGAGCTCACATCTGCCACAGCTTTCATTGAACACTACACGTGAAACTACAGGGCTTAATATTTACCCTATGGGTTTGGACTTGCTTTAGTCCCATTGCTTTGTACCCGGTTTGTACCTTTTGGAGGCAGGAGGATCACATTCTCAGGGCCAGTCCAGGCTACGTAGCAAGTTGAAGCCTGGCCTCAACTGTGTATTTAGCAAGACCCTGTCTTGGAAACCACGGCTAAAGAGAAAGCGTGGCTGAGATGATGCTGATGCTGCGGTGTACACTTGTCACAGCTCACCAGGGTCCCAGTAGAAACTGGTAAACTTTCTTTCAGTTCAGTTGATTAGATACAGTTAGGCCCATCAGACACTTCCACATCTTTGTTTTACTGCCCTGTGTTTAAAGAAGCTGGTCATCCCACCAGCACTGTGCTTTCTCTCAAGGGCAAACTGTTCACAGAGACAGCCGTCCTTCACCTGGTGTCTGGGAAGCCCAGGGAAGGGGGCCTGAGGGAACGGCGGCACAGGTCCGGACCTGGGAGCGGATTAGCCCCCTTGTTAGGAGGCAAGAGAGGAGAGTGCAGGGGAGCAATGGGATCTGGGCCGAACATTGCAGGATTTCAGCTGGGGTCCACCATCTCTGGTTACACTGCAAGGGCAATGTCAGAGGGAGACCTGGAGACCGACCTTCCTAAGCCTCTTACCGTGTAAAAACAACGCGTGAAGGAAAACATCAGTCTTACTTGTTCCTGGGAGCTGAGGGCAAATCCTGTGAATGGCTGCTTTTATCTTTTCCTCTAGAGCATCTGCTTAGATACAGAGATTTACTGTCAGATCTTTAATCCTAGTATCAGGTAAACTAGCAATTAAGTGATGGTAAGTTAGGTTGTGGAAAAGTTCTCAGAGCAGGTGGTGGGAGCTGTGGACGGTTTCTGGGTGAACCTTTGCTTTCTAATTTTCTCTGAGCCACTCTGCAATGGTTTTAAAGGGGGGTTTCTGTGCAGCGTCACTGTATCTGGACTTTCCTTCTGCAGGAGGTTTTGATGATAACTCTCCCCTGAGCTCCGTCGAGCGGTACGACCCTCGAAGCAACAAGTGGGATTATGTGGCCTCGCTCACCACGCCCAGGGGCGGGGTGGGCATTGCCACGGTGATGGGCAAGATCTTCGCAGTTGGAGGTCACAATGGCAACACCTACTTGAACACAGTGGAAGCCTTCGATCCGGTGCTCAACAGGTGATTTGCATGTGGTATCTGCACTTATCAGTGGTGGGTTCCTGTGATAGAAGACTCCAGAGAGGGCGCGGGTGTGTTTGTGTTCAGACGCCTCACTGGGGACCTGAATCCTCATCTCTCCTCGAGACGCTTCACTCCTCAGTTGGGCACACCTGGGAATAAAATAGAGCACTTACAGCCCCTCTGCTCTACAGTGGGGTCACTGGCATCACCGTCTGCACTGCGGGATGTTACCCTATAAAGGTCGCGTGAACACCAGTGCGACAGCACCCTGGCCAGTGTGGTCGCTGAGGTGGTCACCAAGGAGCACGAGGTAGCAATGCCCCCAGTGTGGGTATACTGGCCAGATGGGCAGGACACAGGGGACATGTGAGATTTCATCACCCTACCCAGAGCAGCATACAAGTTAAAGCTTCCAAATCGTTTGTTTCTGGGATTTTCCATTTCATATTTTGGCGTTAGAGCCGACTACAGGTAACTGAGACATGGGGAGCAGAACCCCAGATGGCAGGGATACTGCTTTGCAGTCCTCGTGCTGATAGAGACCCCGGAAGTTGGTGTGTCTCCCTCTGGAAGCCTATGCAGTCCCACTGAGGGCCTCCAGCTGTGGTTGGTACTCATAGGGAGGACATGATGCTTGGCTGTGCATAGACGCTCTCTGTCCTCTGTCTTCCAGGTGGGAGCTCGTGGGCTCTGTGTCTCACTGCAGAGCTGGCGCCGGTGTGGCCGTGTGTGCCTGTCTGACAAGCCAGATTCGGGATGTGGGCCATGGGTCCAGCACCGTGGTGGACTGCATGTGACCGAGCACCCAGCAGCACGGCCTCCGCAGTGGTCTCAGGTGGCCAGGATCTCGATAAGACCCACTCTGAATTTTAATGACAGCCAGAGACTTACTCAAAGGCTACCGTAGGACTATGACCGGGTACAGCTTTCTGAACAGCTGAAGAACTTTCAGTTATGCTGTTAGATCTGGTGTGGGGAGAAAGAGAGCTTAACTGGAAACCATACTGCTCTGGAAAAACGTTTCTGTAGCGCCCAAACCTTGAAGTCTGTTTATTGGGATGAATCCAAATGAAATGTGTTGAGTTTTCCTTTTCCTCTGCCTGAAAATAGTAGCCTCGGGTAGCAGATTTTTCCGGAGCAGAAATAGAACTTGGTGTGTGCGTCTGACACCGAGACTTGCTCCTCCTGGAAGTCAGTTCTACTGGTGCTGCTTAGGTTACGTCTTGCTTGTATGCTCAGTGCTGATTTTCACTTCCTTGGGTATTTGCAGAAGCAGAAAACCTGTTTTTGCTGGAGCGCCAGTTGGCTGCATCCTTGGAAGCTGGTGCAGGCCTTGATTTCAGTTTGAGTTGCTAGGGCACCAAAAAGCTTGGCAGCACTAATAGCCTGAACCGATCTACAGTTTTGATTTTGGGGTTTTTTTCCTATCTCATGCAAAAAGTAACCCTGAGGATACTAGAGAAACTTAACTGCCAGCCTCCAGCGCCAAGTGGGAGGCCCCGGGGGGCACAGTTACCTGCTGCCTGCCAAGGGAGGGCCGACCCTGTCCTCACCCTTTTTTTTGACTTGTTTTTTGTGAATCTAGGACTTTTTGTTACTTTTGTCTTACACCGATCTAGATTTATTTATTAGAAAATGAGTGCATTTTTACCAAAACTCCTTGTTGACTAGTATACTGATTCGTTCCAGTCCATTGTTAATGAAAGGTGTTGGTACAAACACCTTTGTATATTGGAAGATGGAAACCGCTCTCTCTTTGTTTAATACTCTTCAGTGTATTTATTGCAGTGTAATTGAAAATATTTGTATAAATTAATTTGAACTCCAAGGTATTGATAAACCAACTGATGTTACAGCCTTTCATTGTTTTAACTAGCATTATAAGATGACCTATTCATTACTTGTGTATTCTTTTATAAATGCTGTTGAGAACATTAAAGTATCTTATTTTATATTTGCAATGCAGTTTGGCCTCCCTCTTCCAGGCCACATTCACATAGTGGGTCTGATCGGTGCAGTGCTGGCCATTAGCCCCACCTGGCCAGTCCTGACAGTCCTTGGCAGATTCCACAGGGACCAGACTTGTCAGTGCAGGAGGACAAAGCACCGTATCCCAAAGCCGGCCGTCAGGCGTGCCCCCTGGAAAGAGAGGAAAATTCAAGAGGGCTCAAACACACATGCACATCGTGAAGCACATGCGAACCGAGCTGCTTTTTTCTCTTGGCCTGTGGGCAGATCCTGAGTCCGTACTGTCTGTGCCAGGGCTCACTAGGATAAATAGCCGGGTTTGAGGTCCTCCCAGAGCACTAGCCAAAGTGTCCACTGGCTGCAGGTGGAGGGGAGCTGCATGTCCTGGCTTCCGCCATCGATTCCCATGCCTGCTGTGTCCCTGTTACAGTGGGTATCGAACCGTGCTTACCGGAGTGTCTTATCTTCATCTTCAGGGGTCAGGACCTTATTGTTTGCTGTGATCACTTAAAATGTTTTCCTCGTCCCCTGCTTGTGTGTACAGATGGGTGATTATGTTTCTCTCTCTGGCTTATGATACAGGAGTCAGCTGACATCTGCACCTCTGTGCTCGCCACCCACAAAGTGTGACATAGATAAATAAAATGAACCCAAGGGAAGGCGTAGCTGTTTGGACTGTAACAGCCGGGTTTCTCGTGCAGTCTGGGTTGGACGGGAGGACCTCCTCAGGGACAGAAAGTGAGGATCGGGCTGGTGCTCCGGAGCGGAGGCTGTGAGATGCCGGGGCAGTGAGTCCTGACAGCACCTACCAGAAACGCATGGAAGGGAGGGCTGAAGCACTGAGATTAGAAACTCGGAAGAAAGGGAGATGTGTAAATTTGTATCTTCCGTCTCGTTTTTTTTCTTTTTTGAGCTGGGTCCTGGTCTGTCACCAGGTAGTCCCCAAACTCCTGGACTCAGGTGATCCTCTTGCCTCACCCTCTGGGCCAGTGCACCTGGCCTTGTGTCTTCTGTTCTTCAAGAAATATTTCCAGATTCTTCGTGTGATTCTCTTGTTTAGTCCTAAAAGCTCCCGCTTTATTGTATTGCACTGTCACTTTAAAGTGATTTCACTGTATTCCTATGTAACTCCTTGGTTATATTTAAAACATTTGAATAAACTTTGTGCTCCTTTTAAGGACCATCAGTTCCCAAGTGAACTTTGTATTATGCTGTCCGAGGCCTAGATAAGAGATTGTTGACATTGTATAAAGTACTTTTTAAAATGGTAAACTGGAGAATTTTCTTCTTCGGTGTTTTTTGTAAGACAAAATACATTGGAATCTAAATCATGTTTTATCCGTTAAGAGTGTTTCTGTGGTTTCTCAAACCAGACTTTTAGAAAGTTATTACTGGGCTCCCCTTGGCTATGTCTTTGTTCCCTCTATGTGAGATCAGAAGTGACAATGAAATTCTGTATAGTACTTTCTTAAAGCGATATATAAAGTAGTGTCATAATACTCCAGCACATCAAAATAATGAATAATCATATATACTACCAAATACTAACTTCCAGTAAGTGGGATCCATGTACTACATGTATAATGAGGTATCTCAGGGTACACTTGCGGATCTAACAGGGACTGTGTAAGGTCACATCACTTGATTGCTGTCCTGGAAGCCTATCAAAACGATGTAATCATTGTGTGTCCTTCAGATACAAATGTGATCTAGCAGTTTGCATGTAACGTTTTTTCCCTCGTATAAAGAGTGTTTATGCTGGCTGTGGAGGTGCACACCTGTGATCCAGCACTGGGAGGCTGAGGCAGGAGGGTGGCTGTGAGCCTGAGACCAATTTGTGTTACAGAGTGAATTCAGCAAGACCCTATCTCAAAAAACCAAAAAAAGAAAGATATTTATGTTTAGCTAAAAATAAAGTGTTTAGTTACTGTTACAGAAATTACAGGTTAAAGGCAACTGATCCAAGTAGTTTGCCTACCCCTAAGCAGTAGTGTCTTCGTTAATGTTGAATTTGCACTGTCTGGAGATGGTGTCCGTGGTCACACTGGGTGAGTGCTGTCCTTCCGAGGCTGTGGCTTTCTCCTAACACAGCGTCGTTGTTGCCGAAAGCCCCCTGACGCTTGTCTCCACTAAGTCACCAGTAAGACTCAGGCTTACCGCAGTCACACGTTACCTTCGACCGGAGTCTCTCCATTGTGGATCTGTGTGCTCTTCATCAGACGAGGCTGAAAGTGTTTGTAGCCTGGGAATGAAATCCACCCTCAAAGAATGGAAGTTTTCCTCCATGGCAAAATGTTTTCAAAAGTAAACAACAAAACGAGATGTAAAAATCATCCCGAGCAGGCCAATGTGTGAAGCCTCTCTGGGGGCCCCTTGTCTGCATGTGGAGCTTTGGGGTCTTGCTGTTCTCCTGCAGCTGCTGTGTTACCGAGCCACCCCAGGACTGCAGAGCACAGAACTGGGAAACGCGTCTGCTGTCCGGCAGAGTAGCATTTCCGGCTCTGTGTGGCAAGACAATGGCCTTGGCTCACGTCAGTGCTCGTGCCACTCCAGGTACAGCTTCTTACAGCTCCTCGGGTTCTCTGGAGTCTCATGGGCTTGGACCTGCTTTTCTTACCAAATTGTATCTTGAGTCCCCTGGGGAGTGGACCAGTTCTAGTTTTTTGTGGGGAGGGGTCCTGGGGATGGGGCGGATTGTAACTCCACGCTCTGCCACCGTTGGTGTCAGCTTCCCCTTTGCTGGAGCAGAGTACCACAGGAGGAGTGATCAGGGGAGTCATTCCACAGTCTGCCGGCCCTCAGGCAGAAGGAGCGTGGGGAAGAGCCTGATGGAGGGATGCAGGTCAGCCCAGGACTGCCAGGAAGCAGCAGGGAGGAGCTAGGGACGGCGTGCAGTGGTGGGCAGCTATGGCAGACGGCAGCAGGCTGTGTATTAGCCACGAAAGCTCAGAAAGGCTGTCCATCCTGGACTGGAACACGGCGGTGTCCGTGTCGCACCCTAGTCCCACCACTAGACAGGAGACTTGGAGGGCATTGCAGGTCTAACAACACCTCCACACCCAAGAATTTCTGAATTTCAGTACTAAGTAGTGGGGAGTATTAACTCATTATTTAAATACCAATAGCTTTATAAAGGTTCTGATCTTTGATTCTGCATTTTACAGTTACAGGTTCAGAGATGATTGCCTTGTTCAAGATCCACGGCTCTGAGGCTGGCCTACATTACATAGCAAGACCCTGTCTCAAAACAGCAGCTAAAACAAGATCCACAGCTCAGTGCTACAGTTTATAATGGGTGGTTTTTCACTCTGAGTTTTCAGTGATGAAATGAATTTCATATACAGTTTCTTTTGTGCCTATGCAACAGTTTTCTTCAAAATATACCTAGAAACAAAGTTTGGTTTTTTTTTCTTTTTAAGATATGTGTTTGATCAGCTTCATGAGTTTTTATTTTGAGACAGTCTCGCTGTGTACTTCAGACTGGCCTTGAATTATGTAGCCCAGCTACAAAATTATGTAGCCCAGCTCAAATTTGTGGCGAGCCCCCCTGCCTCAGCCTCTTGAGTGCTAGGATTACAGACATGTGTCGCCACACCCAGCTTATGAATTTTAGAGATAAAATGAAGCTGTTTTCCAGAATGGTTGCACCAGTTCACAACGTGACTTCTCCCTTGGTATTGTGAGACCTGATTTTTGCCAATATAGTAGACATTAGATGATATGGTGATTTTATTTTATATTTTTCCTGACCATTGAATACATGTTGTTTCATCGTTCCTGCCACCTCTGTGAAACACGTTTTGGGGGCAGTCGTTGGACGTGAGCCCGAGGCCTGGAGCACGTGAGCCAGGTGACCGCTGCTCAGCTGTGTGCCCCACGCTGCAGACGCTCTGGCCAGTTTTCCCCTAATTCACCGAGGACTTGTCGACAGCTTTCTGGGTGCTGATTGCTTTGCTGTTCCCACGCACCCCTTCTGTTTCTGGCCTGCCCTTTCACCTTGGGTTTTCTGTAAATGACTTAATATTTCAAAATAACTTTTTGTGTCCTAAGAAATTTTGTTCTCTTTGTTAACATGTTCATAGCAGGACCACGATTTGTTCCTGGGTACTGGGCAGTGGCACCCTTACCGTGGCAGCTGTGCTGAGAGCGGTGTGGGCCGCCCGCTGGGCCAGTTGTGGGTACAGCACTGTGGCGGGAGCCTGCGGACCCACCTGCTCAGCCTCCTTCCTTTAGGGCCTCTCTTCCCTCTGTTCTGACCCGTAGTATCACTGTGTCTAAGTATGGCATTCTGTGTATTTGTTCTAGTATACATTACAATTCTGCTTCTAATTTATCTTCTGAAAATTTCAGCCATGGAAACTTTTATTTACTAATCGTATTTTCAGCCAGGTACAGTCTGCTGCTAACCATCTATTTCAGTTATCGTATTTGTCACTTATATAAAAGTCCTGTTTTATTCTCTTAGGTGTGGTTGGCCATTTCTGGTGAATTTTTATTGGTTTCTGCCTTTTTCTTTAGACATTTCATACATAGTTATCTTTATATCCTATAGTTGATAATTCCAGTGTCTCAAGTCTTTGGGGGTCTGAGTCTGTCTCTGCTAAACGTAGTACGTGTCACTCTCGTGTGTTTGGAGATTTCTGTGCACAGCTGTGCGCCTGCCCGAGCGTGAGCCCACCCAGCAGGTTCTGAGTGGGGACCCCATCAGAGGAGCTGTGCTCTCACTGCTGTGCTGGGAGCGGACGGCTGGCCGCTCACTTGGGGCTGCCCCAGTGCTCTAGTTCAGAGTTTGGCTTCCCAAGCTCTTGCTGTGTTGGTCATGGCTGTGCCTTTAGGGTGCCTTGATTTTCCTGTTAGCCTCCACTTCTGTTGGGGCGCCCGCTCAAACACGGGCACTTACAGATGGCCCTGTTTTTCTGGTACCCCCAAAAGCACTTAAAAGTATGTTGTTTATAGGTTAGGAACCGAGATTGTGGATCTCTTCAAGCTGTCTCATCACCACAGAAGTCAAAGGCACTTCTGCTTTAACTAATGATTACGTGTGTGCCACTGAATCCCTCTGTGAAGTTAGGTGGATGGGCTTTTTGGTACATTTATTATCACATCTAAGATTGCTGGTGTGAATTTAAACTGGCAAGTTATAAAAGGGTAACTCAACAAATGGGATTACTTGGGATAGATAGATATGCCTGTCACTTTGTGTCTTTGTCCTGAATATCTCGGATAGCTGAAATTTATTTTTCATCTGAAAGCTGAAATAGTTAAAAGTCCCTAAAGGCTAGTAGGTGACACCAGTCCCATAGTACACTGATGTTTTAAATCTGTCATACACATGGCTCTTACATATTGACGCAGATTCAGAAAATAACTACATAGAGCCTAAAACTTTACAGCTTTGCTTTTTAAAACGAATATCTCTACTTAAGGTCACAAATGGAATGGCTGTTTGCCAAAAGTAGGAAGATTCTTACCTGACCGTAAGATTCCCCTGGTTGGTTTGCAAACAGGGACCTTTCCTCCCCTCTGGAAAGCGGAGCTCAGGCTGCCTGACGCAGCAGCCATTTGCTCCCTACACTCACCACGCTGCTTCCCAGTCTGTAGCCACATGCAGTCAGTGTGGTTTTGAGGTTGGCTTTACTGAATTGTAATTTATATAAAGCTCACCCCTATAAACATATGTGGGTGGTACAGGAGTCACCAGCGTTCACATAATCCAGATTCGGAGCACTTTCCCTCCCCCACTTGTGTGGCGAGCTCCTGCTCTGAGCACTGACCTCCCTCCCGGGTGACCAGGCTGTAAATGTGCCCTTTCAGGAGTTCATACCATGTTGTATTTATCTTTTCATCAACACTGGTCGTTTAGATTGGTGCTGTTTGTAGCCACTGTGTGTAACGCTGCAGTATTTGGGAACGTTTCTTAATGTGAACATATTTTCAGTTACTTTGGTTCATGCGAGTGGAGTTGCTGGCTTCTGGTGACTTGGTTCTACCTTATGCAGAGTGGTTATACTGCTTTATCTGTCCACCAGTAAAACGCTCGCCAGTTTCTCTTCATTCCCTCCAACATCTGGCACTGTCTTTGTAGAACTCACGTCGTCCTGCTGGTGTGTGAACAGTGGTGTCGCTGCGGTTAATCCGTGTGTGCAGGACTTCCAAGCTGCAGCATCTTTTCATTGAAGGG